CTGTCAATACTCTTGACTTAGATGACTGTCAGATCACATTTTATGACAAATGAATGCAGAACACCATGAAATTCCAAAAGGTTCACATACTTTTTCTTGCAACTGTATTTAGCTAGAACATTTTAATTTTTCTGGATCTCTTACTCTATGAAGATTTAGTTAACAGTTACAAATTCTACTGTCAGCTCACCAATTCCAAGATGGGTATTAATGGAGGCATAGCGGGCAGTTCCCGTTAAGTTTTTATTTTCACGATAAGGAATATGCTGGTGAGTACGAGCGTCCCGGTATTTCTTGGCCAGCCCAAAATCTATGATGTAGACAAGGTTGCCCTTTTTGCCTAATCCCATTAGGAAATTATCCGGCTTTACATCTCGGTGGATGAAGTTCTTTGAATGAATATATTCTATTCGGCTTATCTAATTGCATAAAAACATAATTCCAGAATTAGTAAACATGTAATTCTTTACATTTAGCAGTTCCTTTATTCTGAATAACACTAAAATCCTATTTTGCTAACATGCAAGTTTAAACCTTAAGTGAAATATGTTATTTTATTTACCTATTTGATCTTCAGAACCTAAGAACCGCATTTTGGAAAAGGGATGTTTTCTAAAAGGGCAATCATGGTCTTACTGGGTAAGACTAGTTTGAAAATATAAACTGTGGAACATTATTTAATTTATAAATCACAAATATAAAGCAGCTCAACTCACAACATGCTTGATCACTGCTATACAAAAAAATGCTAGCTTTTGCGATGATATTCATAGAAAGGAAGCCCAGCTTGTATTATTTACAACACTTATTCAGAGAAAGTGCATATAACATAACCAGAGAGAAGTTTTTAGAGAACTCTCATTTCCAATAACCAATAAATGCAATTATTTTAGTACCATTTGGTCAGCAAGTAGAAGAACGGTCTTGAGGCTGAATTTCCTTGAGCAGAAGTTAAAGAGATCTTCAAGACTTGGTCCTAGCAATTCCATCACCATTACATTGTAGTCACCTTCAGCACCACACCATTTGATTGTGGGAATGCCCACTAGAATGTGAAAAAATGGATTATTCATAGTGCTTCATGAAAATTACAATATATATCTGATATCTCCTGAAAATTGATGTGATACCTTCACATATACTTTATCTAATTTGCAACTTATTTTTCTTTTCAGGAAACTACTGAAATACCCTACATTCACAACACACGATCCTTCCTTCAAAGCACATTCAAATAGGAAATCAAAAATGAGAAGAGGGCAAAAGCTTTATCATAGTACTTTGCTGGACAAAATCATATAAAACTATAATCTGTCAAATTGGAACACAAGAAAAAGAGTGAGGCTATTATTTGTGCATAAATATTTAAGAATTCAAAGGACTGTTTATGGTAGCTTTTTATATAGTTTTTTTCCATAGCAATCTTCAAGATGTAATATTTATCTGAATACAGAATATGCAAAAACTTGTAGCAACGAAGACAATATATATAGCCTCAAGGATGCTTAGTTTAACTGAATACTTAAAAGTAATGGAAAGAAACATGTTCAATCTCTACTTCCTCTACCTTTACAGCATTATGAAGATTTCTGCCTTTTTTCTTCTAGCTTTAAAGAACTTTAAAAAATAACTCAGTGACTACTAGTACAAAGCACAGCAAGCCAGATTCACACATGATTTGGGTTTTTCTCTGACCTTAAATATGTTCGGACAATATTATTCATTAATAATAATTTATGAAATGTGGAGAAAATGCACATGTAGAAAATGCTCAGGTGGTACTATTAATGAAGACATCCACATTATAGCACTGCTCATGTAAGCACCATGCTTTAACAATCTGAAAGATGTCTAGAGGTGAAATATTTGTGCCTGCGTGATTCAAGAGGAAAAATCATGCTTACCTCCACCTTGCATCATTTTGTAAATTTTGCTCTCTATGTGGAGTTGAGGATGTTTGGTTTTGACACATTCCAATTTGATGGCAACTTCTTCTCCAGCAGCTATGTCAGTACCTTAAAGAAAAGAACTCAACATCATAATGCAATTCAAGCTTTGACTGTAACGATCACAAAAACTGCCATTAGGGACCTGATCTATAATTTATTTAGCCTCTAGAATCCAGCATCAGGTTATTGCCAGTGCCATATCCCCTCCAGGACCTGCAGAATTGATACTTTATTTGTTTATTTATTTATATTTATATTTAAAATTGTCACCGCCCATCTCACTGCAGAGCAACTCTCGGCGGCTGAATCCATATAGTATAAAGGCAAAAAATAAATGAATCTACAATGGTATTTAATGCACCATATGTGCAGACAGATTCAGTTGTTGTGATATTTCCTAGCATGAATCAAAATTAAAATGAAATTGTACCTAAGTTGTTGTTATGGCTTGTACAACCTTTGTTACACAATTCCATAGACATTTCCCATGAAAATCCTTTTCAGTTAGCTACTTATTTTGGAAATGTCAATGTAGCTGAATATCAGTTAACTTTTTCTCTGGCTTGATTCAATGTATAACTTTCAGAGATGCTCTGTGGAAAATATGCAGGGCTTCCTTTAGCCTCACAAGTTTGTTCCTATAACAACCAATAGAGAGTCTGAGCAGAATATATTTCTTGTCTTTTAAGTTTAATGTTGAAGAGCCAGGAATTGAGTGCCCCTTTACTAGCTGTTACCATGTTCTGCTAAATTTTATGCAAGTCTCTGTAGATCAGTAATATTCCAGGGGTGTCATAAAAGTGGCCAAACTTCTGTCAAGGGCGCTAAAAACAAGAAAATATTTTTTGCAGTGTATTAACTATCTCAATTTCACTCTGTATTGTGTAATATTATCCACGTTTGCAGTAATAGTATCCATGTTTTCACTTTTGTTTGGTTTATATTTTTGATCTATTGCCTAAAATAAATGGAATAGAGATATATACATGGCTTTACTTTCTGTTGTACTGTACGTAATTATTGGATGTGCATATCATGCTAACCCATGGTAACAACTGGGTAGATTCATATAACACATTAAGTCACCAATGTATATTGTAACTGTTAACAGCAGTTTTATTTTTTAAAACTAACTGCAATTGAAATAGTAAAGAGGTTATCTACTTCCATTAAAAGAAATATAGATAATAAAAATTAATGTGACATATAGAATAGATGAAAACTGTACATTAAAATCCTATTACATAAGAACTTGAAATGTGTGAGGAATAAGCTTTTAAAATGTATTACAAAATGATAAATACTGTATTGGACACTTAAAATCCCACCGATTTCATTAAGAGCTACGTAACCAAGCCATCATGACTTTTTCTTGCTGAAATCAGCGGGCCCCAAGTTTAACTAAACTATGTATGGATCCAATACATTTTGTGAATTCATAGTAGCCAAATAAAAAATTATGGATTTTTTCATGATTCCCATGTGATCTCAACAAGTTACAGTACAGGTAGTCCTTGGGTTACAACCACTTGTTCAGCAACCATTCAAAGTTATAACGGTGCTGAACAAGGAGCTTACGACCATCTGCAAAGTTGCGGCCATCGCAGCGTCCCCACAATCGCAATTTGGCCACTTGGTAGTTGGCTCGCAATTATGATCGTTGCAGCATCCCGCAGTCATGTGATCACCATTTACGACCTTCCCTCAAGGCTTCCCACAAGCAAAAACAACAGGGAAGCCGGCAGGAAGTCACAAGTTGTTCCCACTCCCACTTTTTCATCTGCCCATGCTCTGTAGTGCCCACCTGTGGCACCTGCCCATCCAAGCTCCGTAGCGCCCATCCATGGCCCACACTCTGTAGTGCCTACCTGCAGTGTCCCCCCGTGGCACCCGCCCCCCTGCATATAGCCCTTACCCACCAGCCTGCTTGCCTGGGACTCCTGCCTCTTCCCACATTGCAGTCACATGAGGTCTTTGCTTAATGACCTGCACGGTCCTGGGGTTACGCTGGCAACCGGGACTGCCGTCACTAAGCGATATAGTCATTTTATATCGCGCTTTACAACCACATCACTTAGCGACATAAATTCCGGTCCCAATTGCAGCTGTAACCCAAGGACTACCTGTATTTCGGAAATTCTCTTCAGCTTCAAAAGCAGCTGGCCATAATGTACAAAAAGTTGCCATAAACAAGATGAAAGCCACCTTGGATCCACGAAATTAATTTCATAACTAGATCCTGGCCAGAGTATTTACTTATCTGCTATCAATAATATGATTGGTTAGAAATCTAAAGCTATTGCAAAAGAAAAATAGTGGCAAGAAATTCAGAATATTCTTCAGGCCTAGGAGTGTGGTATATATAACAAGGCTTCTTACGGATGGCTATAGAAACAAAGTATTGCTAAGTTTCCAATAGGCATAGTCATGGGATTTTTTTTTTCATTTCAGGGGTCAATCCCATCCCACATTACAAAGTCTTATAGCCCAGAAGTGTGCCTTCTTTGTAGCAGTGCTTGCCCTCTGGAATGAGGTTCCCCCTAAGATCTGAATGGCTCCCACTCTACTTGTGTTTTGAAGGGCCTTGAAGACCTGGCTCTTTGCCCAGGCCTCTGGCAAGGGTGACTGAAGCCCCCTTTTCTTCTTTTTCTTTATTCCCATCTGGGTTAGTTATGTTTCAAGAGCCATCTTTGCTTTTTTTTTGTTCTATGCTGTTTTGTTTAAATGGTTAACATTTTGTAAACTGCTCTCGCTGGGAGTCAGGTGGCAAACAAACAAACAAACAAACAAATATAAATCTCAAATCCATGGGCATATAGCACTACTGTTTCTTTGTATCCTGGTTATTATAGTAAAGAAAAAAACAAATTGAACTTCTGTAAGTATACTGCCACAATATTACTTGTGATACTTAGCTCAGCCTAACCTAAATCAGGGATCAGGGTATTAGGAATGGAAACCCAGGCTTGGGTGGAAAGTCTGAATTAGATCCCTACTACTATATATCTACAGAGTCTGAGACAGGGCTATAGGGTCTAATCCCAAAAGAACAATGGTACCATCATGTGGAACCTCAGAGTTGAGTGGTGCTGAAGTGTGATATTGTAAGGCCTGGCTCTGTGGAAGTATTAGTGTCAGTTTTAAGTTAATCAAGCCAACTGAATGAGGGAGGAGCTTGGCAGTTTGAGACATACGTAGACACACAGTTTACCAGACAAATTATGGGAGAAGTTTGCAACCATCCTCCATGTTGCTCCATGCTTGGAAACCATGACTTTGTTTGAACTTCCCAGACTCTTTCATTCTTTACTGCCTAATTAATGATTACACTTCCCATCTTCCTTCTTCTAATTGCTAATTGCTGGCCATGATTCTTAAACCAAATTCAGCCTATACTTACTTTTTGGGGGGTGGACTGACTTTGGTGCTGACCACTTGGAATTATCTGACTACATTTTCTTAATATCCTTGGGATAATACTTGTGTATTTCATTTTGTCTTCAACTTGATACAACTTGTACTCATGTAGCACTGGTTATACACTACCCCAGTGTAGCCAAATTTAAGCAATGAAACCCCATGATTTCAACAGAATGAGTAAGTACATTAAAAACTAATAATACAAAGTTGTTCTTAACCAAAGATAGATTATTAGCAATAATTCTATATTCCTCCTACTGTGTTGAAGTTATTTCTTACTTCCAACTGACAAGTCCTATTACTTTTCAGCTTTTATTATGTTGTTTGTTTCTAGTGCAACATTTTCTTAGGTATATTCCCCCCCCCCCCCCCCCCCCCCC